GCCATACGATATGGCGGAATAGAAATGGGCTGGGTGCCCGGCACCAAGTCAATGCCAAAATCGGTATCCCTATCCGACGGCATGCCCGGTAGGTCTGCAGGAAATACATCAGGAAAATCCTTCACAACTGGGACAGAATCAATACTAGGAGTCTCAGCTCCAACATCTCGCACAAAAGCTAGATACGATAGGCAACCCTTCCCAACCATACACTGGGCTTTCAAGAGGGAAATTACTCTGCTAGGAACATAATCAGTCATACCATGCCACTCGATCCTCGGAACACCCGGAATAGCCAAAGTAACTGTCTTAGCATGACAGTCTAGAATAGAATGACACGGAGATAGCCAATCTATGCCCAGAATAACATCAAAATCTACCATGCTCAACAATAATAAATCAACTCGGGTCTCCAGACCCCCAATAGTCACAATACAAGACCGATACACATGGTCTACAATAATGGTATCACCCACCGGGGTAGATACGTGCACGGGTAAAGCAAGACACCCTCGAGTCGTACCCAAATGATGAGCAAAATATGAGGACACATAAGAATAGGTGGATCCGGGATCAAATAAGATAGAGGCATCTGTGTGGCAGACTGAGATAATACCTGTGATAACAGCATCTGACGCAATAGCATCTGTCCTGCCTGGAATAGCATAGAAACGAGCCTGGCCACCGCCTGATCATCCTTCCCCTTTGGGGCGACCTCTAGCTACCTGGCCTCCACCCCTAGCTGGCTGGCCGGGTGCTGAAGAAACTGGAGCAGAAGATGAAGGTTGGACCCTCTGTTGAAACTAACCACCACGAAGTCGAGGACACTGCCTCTTTATATGACCAAACTCTCCGCACTCATAGCAACTACCAGGTACTGGAGAAGGGAACTGGAGGGAACCCCTTGCACCTGAATGACCAGCCGATGCACTCGGCATAGATGAACCCTAAACTGAAGGGGCATAGGATGAGCTCTGAGTTGGGAGAGCGTTAAGTAAAGAATGGCCCTACTGAAATCCCTGATGACCACGGTCTGAAGATGTCCTACTATACTCTGGACGGGCCGACTGAGGAGGTCTGAAGGAATGACCTCTACCACGCTGGAACTGGACCCTAGACGGAGCACTACTGAAATTGCCTGAACCTCTAGGCCTCTTGGCCTCCCTCTTCTCTCTCTCTCTCTCTGCGGCGAACTGTCTCAATATCACGAGCGATGTCAACCATCTCCTCGAACGAAGCACCTAATACTCTCTCTCTAGTCATAAAAATGTGGAGAGAGTAGTTAAGACCATCCATGAATCTCCGGATCCTCTCACGATCTGTCGGAATCATCCAAGTAGCATGACGAGCCAACTGTGAAAATCTCATCTCGTATTGGGTCACGGACATATCTCCCTGAGTCAACCACTCAAACTGCCTACGCAGCTCCTCTCTGCTGGACTAAGGTACATACTTCTCCAGAAATAGAGTGGAGAACTGCTGCCAAGTAAGGGGCGTTGCACCAACAGGTTTACGCCTCTCAAAATCTTCCCACCAGGTAAATGCAGCTCCCTGGAACTGAAATGTAGTAAAAGTACACCACTCGACTCCAAAATCCCTGCGGTGCGAAGCATACACTAACACTTGTCAAGAAAACCCTAGGAATCCTCGCCCTCTACACCGCTGAATATCGGAGGCTGGAGCCTACCAAATCTCTCGAGACGACGCTGCTCATCCTCTGGCATAGCTGGGACCACAAAGTTCTGAACTGGTGCAACCGGCTGAGCTGTAACAACTTCCGGTGTCTGCAATCCCTGTATAACCTGCTCAGTTGTGCGATTAACAGGAGTCTGTGTGCCTTCCCTGACCTGTGAAGTAGTTGCGGCTGTAGTGGCTGAGACCGCCTGAGCTAGGCCAGTACAAACTGTCAAAATCTGAGCCAAGGTCTCCTGAAGACCCGAAATCACGATAGGCATAGCTGGTGCTCGAACTGGTACAGCTGCTGGAGCCTGATTTGGAACTGGGGANACAATAGGCATAGCTAGTGCCTGAACTGGTACAGCTGCTGGAGCCTGATCTGGAACTGGGGAAGCTGGTGGATTAACAGGTGCTACCCGCGCTACTCTACCTCTGCCACGCCCACGACCGCGTCCACGGCTTCTGGTGGCATCAGTGGGTGGCGCTGGTGGTCGTCCACCTCGTCCAGTAGAATGAGTCCTCGCCATCTGCGAGAGAATAGAATGATAGAAAATATTTTTAATGTTCGGATCAACAAAGTCGCACGACAAGAATTTCAAGAATATGAAGTTTTCCTAAAGGTTCTGCAGTCTCTCGAGGATAAATACAGACGTCTCTGTACCGATCCGCGAGACTCTACTAAACCGGCTCATAACTCGCGAGACCAATTAACCTAGGCTCGAATACCAACTTGTCACGACCCCAACCCCGGTCATGATGGCGCCCAACACACTACTAGGCAAGCCAGACCATTTAACAACATTATCCCAAATTCTTATTCAGATTATAGTTAAATATCACAGAGAATTTACTAAGTCATCACTCTCAAGTGTATAATTAATAATAAAACCTGCGGAAATTCAACTAAAATACCTAACCATAGCCCAATAGAATCCGGTGTCACGAATATGAGCCTCTAATACAGAATATCCACCTATTACAAGTCTGTCTAGGAAAAATGCGGAATAAAAGATAGAGATAGAGGGGAGAGATCAAGGCTGTTAACGCCATGCAGCTACCTCAATACTCTCGGATACTGCTGCTCAACTAAACAAATCCTCACTCAGCCTGTGGTGTACCTGGATCTGCATGCAAAATGCAGGGAGTAATGTGAGTACTCCGACCCAGTGAGTAATAAACATAAATAAAGGCTGAGAATAAGAAATCGTGGAAAAATACAAAGTAAACTATAACTGGCAGTATAGAACAACAAATAGTGAAGCAACAAGTCAATTAAATCAGAGTACCAAATACTGAGACAGGCATAACAGATAAAAACAAATGAATGAGTGCAATGCAATGCATATGATGGTACTCTCTAGTACCCACTACGGCGTGCAGGCCGAACCATCCATTTTATTTATCATCGACGGCGCTCACTAGGGGTGTGTACAGACTCCGGAGGGGCTCCTACAGCCCGAGCGCAATAACAAGCCCTCTCGTGGCATCAATCAAGTCTTGGTCATTCATTGTTACCTGACCTATTTATATCACACTCCCCAATGGTGCTCTACCCCACGTCCGTTATCTGGTGTGCAAGTCACCTCAATATAGCATTACAATGTGAAATTCTGGGGTTTCAAACCCTCAGGACATCATTTACATCAATTACTCACCTCAAACCGATAGAAGCTCTAGCTCGATATACCCTTGCCTCTCAAATTAGCCTCCTCGTGCGACGAATTTGCTCAAAATCACAACGAATATGTCGCATTATGCTAAAGGGACAATACCCAATCAAAACACTCGAAAAATATCAAAATTAACGAATTTGGCAAAACTCGAGCCCCGGGCCCACGTCTCAAAACTCAAAAATTTTTATACCAAAGTGTTCTTCGTCCTCTCACGAGTCCGTACATATAAAGAACACAAAAATCGGAGCTCGTTTGACCCTTCAAATCAACCCTAGAAAATTTCAAAAGCACAAGCCCTAAAACCCCACTTTTCTACTTATTTTCATGTTCTAATTCACATATAATCTTGTATTTAACTTGGAAATAAATAGAACAACTCACCTTTGATGCTTGATAAAATCCCCCTTGAAATTCTCTCCAAAATCATCCAAGCCACATGAAAGAAATGAAAGAAATAAGCCAAATCCGTGTTTAAAGAATCTGTCTGTGCTTCCTCGAGTTGTACTTTCCACTTGTCCTATACAAGTTGTACATCGTATTAAAATTTTTCCTTATCGGACATCTTCTGTTTAAACACCCATAATGTCTTGTATAAATATCCAAATTACAAACGGTTTGAAGATTTAGAAACTAGACTCGAAGATCTTTAATTTGGTAGGTTGTACACCATATAAATCTTTATATATCCCGAGATATGAGTTTCTAAAGTCGGTTCCATGAAATCAGAAAATTCTGGAGAAACTGCTCCACCAGTCATCTTCAATCGATCATCACTTTCTCTACAGATGTCCAAATTACGATTTCCTTAGCTTTCTGAAAACTAGACGCAAAGAGCTACAACTTTCATATTTTAATCATCTCAAAATTCCTTGTAGATCAAAAGATATAGGCCTCTAAAGTACGCTCCACGACTACACATTTGCTGTCCAAAGACAGCTTAGCAGCAGAAATTGCAGCAGCTTTTTCTTTTCTTTTTGGGTCCGAATTCCATTCCGTTAACCTTCCGAAATCCACCCGAGGCCCTCGAGACATCAACTAAAAGCACCAACATGTCTTAAAACATTATCCAAACTTGCTCCAATCGTTAAAACACCTCAACTAATACCAAAATCATCAAATTATATCGAATTCAAGCCTAAGTTCTTTTAAAACTTCTAAAACACACATTCGATCAAAAACCCGACCAAACAATGTCTGAATGACCTAAAATTTTACACACATATCCCAAATGACACAATGAAGCTACAACAACTCTCGGAATTTCATTCCGACACCCGGATCAAAATCTCACCTATCAACAGGAATTTGCCAAAATACTAACTTCGTCAATTCAAGCCTAATTCAACACCGGGCCTCCAAAATTACTTCTGATCACACTCCTAAGTCACAAATCATCTCCCGAAGCTAACCGAATTATCGGAATTCAAATCTGAGCCCTCTAACACATAAGTCAACGTTCGGTTGACTTTTCCAACTTAAACCTCCTTAAAAGAGACTAAGTGTCTCCTTTTCCTATCAAAACCAATCTGATTTACCTCTAACACACCGAATACCGATAACGAAACATGAAGAAGCATAAAAATGGGGGAAACGGGGCTGTAACTCACGTGACGACGGGCCGAGTCGTCACAGGACCCTATGTGGGTGGCCTACGTATCACGCCCCGAAAGACGAGAATCAGGTATGCGTAGTTCAGGCAGATTGGATACGGGCGAGAATAATAAAAAAACAACTGACATATAGAAAAAACATTTTTTCTCTCTTTTTATTCGAAAAATGATGAAACATATAAAATCATTTTGGATTTTCTTTTCTATTTTTCGATTTTTTGATTTTTGAAAGATGATAAAAAGTGCAAAATCTTTTTGAAGTTTCCATGCTCTTTTTCTTATTAAAATATAACAAAAATATAATTGGGCCCTACTCGCTTCATCCTCACACTTCAGCCTCTCTTTTTTTTCTTTTTTTTTCATTCGCCCTCAATTATCATTGGTCAGCCAAATGACCCTTTTACCCTTGAAGAAATGCAACATGTAGCACATAGGATGCATCAAGATGGTCTGTTATTTTGGGTACACTTGTCCTAGACGGACCCAACCCCTGTGTTGAGTCCCCGAAGTCAAATGCACAAGATGCAAACAAACGTGCCTACTAGGGATTTGGCATGAGGCTGAGTTATTCTTAGGTCAAAAAACCTGGGTATGTGTGCTAGATTGTGTACCCGAGCGGACAACTA